TATCATATTCTCTGTAGTCGATTGGTATAGCAAAAATACGTTTGCTTCATTGACAATCCCATCAAAGAATAGGATTTATTGAAAACCTGGCTTTCCTTGAAATTCAGATCTTCCCTGTGACCCAAGAGCGCTCGTGGTAATGTGGCCTAGTGGTTAAATTTTCAAGCTTACATGCTGCACTGTCACGATTCAACTCCCGCTAGAAGTTTTGATAAGACCTATGCGAGGTCGGAACTGCAGTTCACCTTGAATGAGAACAACTTTTGTGAAAGCAAGGCAATGTGAAATTCAATGGAAATGTCAGCTATACTCATATCATTGTGGTGAAATTTTACTACCAGTCCTTCATCACCTTAAACCAAATAGGATAAATACATCTCATATACTTCCATTAACTTATCGCTTATTATGTATTTTTCCGTAAATATTTATTTAATTATTATTTGCTGATGATTTTTCATATCGCTTCTGTTTTTATTTTTTTACTCCTTAATCTCTGGTGGCCAATATGAAACTTCATTCCTTTTAAAATTAATATAATATGTGTTCCTGCTACGCAAATATGAATATATTTCTTCCAGGGCCTTAATGCCGTCTTCTTGATTCATTAATTCCGTAATGTAAGAAATTGAAATTTTATTCTATTTACTTAAGGCCTTATTGCGCAAAGTTGGAGGCGAGGGAAAACCTACGGTTTTCTTATTGGCTGATACGCAAATTAAGGAAGAGTCATTTTTGGAGGACGTTGATAATTTGTTAAATATGGGCGAAGTTCCCAACTTATACAGCTCAGAAGAAAAGGCTGAATTGATGGATATGGTTCAGCGTGCAGTCGAGGCTACTTCGGCTTCTACCGCCGCAGGTTCTGCTGCAAAACCCATTCCGGATCTGTCCCCTTTAGCTCTTTATTCCCTCTTTGTTAAACGTTGTCGAGCTAATCTTCATGTAGTGATCGCCTTTTCACCCATCGGAGATGCCTTTCGAAATCGCCTACGTCAATTTCCCGCATTGATCAATTGTTGTACAATCGATTGGTTCCAGGTAGGATGGAGATTATTTTCTACAAATAGCGTCCTTACTTTCAAATATTCTTTATCAAACTTTGACAATTTTAGGCTTCCTTGAATAATAAACAATTTAATCGAAGTTATGAGGGCCAAGGTGGTGTATGGTTGCAGTCTCCTATCATTGCATAGAAGTTGTTTGACCTTGTGTTCGCAACTTGGTCATATTTGAAGGAAGACCTGGAGGAACGCAACTAGTCCGGAGTCCATAGCATGCATGATAATTTCCAGAGTCGGACCGTCGATGTGGTACATTCCCAGGTGGGAATGCATACGTTTGGCTCCGAACTAGGTGCGTTCTTCCACGTCTTCCTACCAATATAACCAAGTTGCAAAAACAATGTAGAACAACTCCTAATAAACAATTAATTTTTTTTAGATATGAAGACCAAATGGTATGGCCTTCGGTTTGGTCGCAGTCTCCTTTATCTTTATAGTGTTGGTTCGACCTAGTTTTCACAACTTTGTCGCAGCGTCAGTAAGACCTAGTTGAATGTACCGATTTCCTTGTCCTCTGCCATAGTATTCGTGATTTCCAACATTGTTCTATCGGCTGGATACATTTCCAAACGTTTTGCCGGCATCATAGTCGGCATTGTCATTGAGAGGCGCAGAGTTACAACTTATCAAAGTGACAAATGAACACAATCCCCTTGGCCAATTATTTGAGCATCCATTGTGGCATCGCTCCTCGCCTCTATTTTTTTGTGTCCGGCTTAAGTCATGACCGCTGGCGTGAAAATGCACCGCTTCCCTTTTTTTACTTGAATCGCGAAAATGTACCCAGACAATGGTCCGATGCTGGAAATCACGAACACTATGGTAGAAGACAAGGGCCTAGGTACGTTACGCAAGGTTTCACTGATGCTGCACTATGTTTCTAAGACAAGATCGAACCAATATAATTTATTTTTCTACTTATTTAAATTCGACTAGATATTCTTAATAGGGTTTTATACTTTGAAATAAGCAGATTTTTAAGAGATTTTATAAATGAATTTATACATTTTAGTTTTTTTGTCTATCGAAATTAGGGCTTCGTACTTCATGCTATCTTAACTTCTAGTAGATTACAGTGATGGTCTGGCCATTTTAAACACTCTACCTAGGTCATTAGGCAACAGATTATATAAATGTATATTTTCTGCTTTATCTGACCTAGTGACGATTTTTAGTGCATTTTATATCGTAAGCTATGAAGATAATTGATTTATATTTGTTGTTCATTTTTATTAGTCGCTAGTTGAATAATTTTAGAAATTCTTTTATGTTTTTTTGTGTATACATTCTTAACAAAAACTAAATAATATTTTATGCTTGAAACCTATTTAAGAGTTGGCCCGAAGATGCACTTGAAAGAGTTGGAAGAAAATCACTCGCCCAGATTGAAATGCCAGATCAGACCCGTGAAGATACAGTAAATATCTTCAAATACTTTCATACTTCGATCTCAGCTTTGTCAGACAAATTTCTTACTAATCTGGGCAGAAGAACATACGTTACCCCTACCTCCTACTTAGAGTTGATCGGTAGCTTTCAACGATTAATCACCAAGAAGCAAGATGAAATATTACGAGCAAAAATGAGGTTATACATATTTTATTCTTTAAAATCGTTATATTTCAATCATTCTGATCATAAACTTGCTATCATGATAAACGGTGACCATCGATCTCGTAAATTTATATTGATAGTTCTGAAAATTAATGGAAAGTTATTCGTACACCTAGGCATTAATAGTTCTTTTTTGTTAAATATTTTTGTTAATATACTCTAAGACTGATGGTAGTTTAGCTTCTCTGTCTGCGTTAAGTTTAAATGAAGGTTTAGATTTTGCCATGTATGCCTTTTATCTCAGAATTTGGCATGCATGTGAGATATAGTCCAGTCATAAAAGTATACTTGGTTGCATGGCTTATTATGTTATAGAAGAAAAAATGTTTCTTAATTGAACATAGACCTCATTTATCAGTAAGTTTACTACCAGTCGATATATGAAGAATACTCCATATTAAAAAATATTCATTGTGTTATTCGATTAAGAAATCCATTTTTTTCACCACTATTCTCTTTCCATATATGGGTTTTTTAGGTTTTTTCATTTGTATGGGTTTATTATTTGCAAGTCACACTAATGTCATAGGCTGAACCTATGACTGACAATGATTCTCTCTACGCCCAGGCGAAAAATATGTTCGCATTTTTATTGAAATTAACCCCTTCATTCATTTAAAAAGGCTGTTTTCAACTAAGCTGGACTGGAATTTAGGCCTTGCCCTAGATCGTCAGGCAGGTCTCAAACTATATGCTTCAAAGCCATATATTTTACTTTATAAACCAAGCTGCACAAGCCTTGCAAATTCCGAGTTTCAGGGCAATGTTGGCTTCTCTTAATTCAAGAATAGTGAGTTTAAGGTTGTTTTATTTCTTACTAAAATCACTACATTACTGATATGTTAGAAAGACAAGGGTTGGTTACAAAATCTACCATCATTACATTTATAGAAAGTGATTCCGCCCTTCTATTTAGCAAGATATGAAATGCTGTTTCTTGTAGATACGAAGAGTAACTGAATTTCAATGAATCTCATAGGGAGATTTTTATTTCTTATGAAAGTGCATGACGAAAAGATTAGAATGCCGATCTCACCAGAAGAAGACGGTTGATTCCCGTTGTAATGCAGCCGTTTGACTTTAATACGACGTTCAGGTTGACGCAATGCCTGTTTGGGTGAAACATGCATTTGCCTTCTTGATACAATATAGCCAAGAACACTATAACCTGGCCAGTTAATAAAATTAGATTTTTTTAAATTTGTATTTCTCATAATGTCATTCCTAGATTTTTTTACTTTCTAAGCGATTTAATCTCCGAGGTCCATTAATAGGGAACTTGATCATGCATCGTGTGGTTTGACTAAAACAAGGCTCAAGCAAAGCATTAATAGGCTACATGAACTAACTTGAACGCAAACCCGGCTCAGACGATCCCTTCCTGAGGTACTGGCTGATGTGAATTTCCTTAAGTTAAAAAATGCGACTGACGAGTTATGGGAGGCCATGGATAGAATAACTAGGCGGATACATGATAAGAAACCTAGGAACTTAGGAATTATAATTAGGTCACTAAACTTTGCATCTAAGGTAGAAGTAACTATGTTTGTCGCAAACTAGGGAAGGATAAGATAATCAATTTATCCAGTATAACCCTAGAGGATAGTGTGGAAGATTGCTCGTACAAATGAAGAAACCATTATCTGGGCATACTTGTTAAAATAATTCGCTTATCCGATTGATTGCCTAAGGAAGTGAAGAATAGTATTGATTTCGAAGTGAGAAAGTTGAGGATATAAACAGTGTTTAAAGAAACCCTCACACTAGAGAGAAATATGACCCATTATCGAGATCCGGATGGTAGAAGATTTTGTGCTCCTGTGGTGTTCAGAGACATGTTGGTGATCCATGCAAGCCCATTCGACAAAGACTAGGGGAACACAAAACTGCGTGTAAGTGGAGTTGGGTCCAACGGTTAAAAGTGGCTGAGCACGTGGCAGAAACCAGACACGAAATAGAATGGTTTTGAATTGGTAGATTTATCGTAAGTGGTAGAGCTGATGTTAAAAGTAAGATAATAGAGGCTGTTGAAATTAAAATATTAGGGAATCCGTTGAATGTGAGGAATGCTGGTAGAAAGATGAATAATAAATACTTGTCCTTGATGGATAAATTGGAAAAAGAGAGATTGTTGATCCACCATCCAAAAAGGTGATTCAACCCGTTTATTCAGTGATGATTCTAACATCACTCATACTCGTCCGACATGTTAGATTAATATCATCAACCAAATCAGACGTGCCAGATTACGTATCCATAGTCGTGCCTTTGTTAGGTAGGTAAACTTTAATGACCCTAGACTGAGAGGTTATGACAGGTCATTTTATAACCCGACTTGCATGCATACAAGATTACATCTCATTATCTCAATCATACTTGCTTGCGGACTTGTGCAGTCTCGATCAGGGCTCTTCTTGGGTAGTTAAGGCTTGATGGCAAAAGTCTTACATTTACCGTTTTTCATCACGTTAATTTAGGAACAGACTGCGTATAGACGTTAATACACACACACACTTGCGCAAAAGTACAGGACCAGCATAGAAGATAATTAGTCAAGCTATCCTACATCTTTATATGCCTAATCATTTTCGCTTTTAGTTAAGAGTATCTATAAGAGCTAAGATAGAGCCGGATAATCTTCTTGACTTAGTGTTAACCTCATACTTTTACAAGAATGAGTTACAGATCTGATGATGTCAATCATATGATGGACGAAAGCTCAGTCCGTTTTCACATGAAATAAGAAAGGATGTCTCATCGACTGTGACAACCTCAATGTCGTATTAAAACCAAACTGCTACAATACACTGGAAATCAGCCGTCCTCAGCTGGTGAGATCGATCTTTGAATCTCTTTTGCATACGAAGTGGTAGTCTTCTCAACAATGGAGCATCTTTATAACACTCGGGTTTCTGAGAGCAGCGAGAATAAAAATACCGTCTTTTCATAATATATGGTCTTATGTATCCTAGAAGCTAATTTAAATGACGATTATTTTGAGAATAATTATAAATATCCTCATATCTTCGATTCAATATTTGTTTTAAATAAATACATATAGACTACAGCAAAAAACATGTATGTCTCAGATAAATCTTTAAGAATGAGACAATAGGATTCATTAGATTATAATAAATATATTTTCACTTACATTTTAAATAGGTAAAAGGCGATAAATATTTAATTATTTTAATCAGTTTTATTCATCCTATTTCAATTTAAGTGATAAAGGATTGGTAATTGGATTTCACGCAATGATACGAATGGACCATATGTTTCTAGTCAATTTCACATAGCCTTTCTTCCAAAAAGTTATGCTCATCCAGGGTAGATCACAGTTTTGACCTCGCATAGATCTTATCAACACCCCTAGCGGGATTTATAACATGGAAGTGCACTTTATAATTTCGACATATTAGCCACTACACCTCAATGCCTCAACTGTCTTTGGTCACAGGTCAAATGCGAGTTTCAGAAAAGGCCAGGCATTTTCCAATATCACTTTTTGTGGTGGGATTGTCGATAAAGAAAAGTTATCTCTGATATGACAATCAACTACATCGCTTTTTTTTAAGTTAGGTTTAGAAGCTACCAGTAAATCGAGTTAATGAGATATGTTCTCCCTATTTCGTCCAACTACCAGTCCTTCATCATCTTAAACAAAATAAAAAATTACATCATATTCACATGAGCATATTTCGCTTTTTCTGTTTATGAATTTTCGACAATGATTTCGTCCCTAGGCCTTTGGTATTATATCATGTGATTTTCTATTTAAGTCTATGCTCTACTCAAATACGACTATGCTTCATAAGTCGCCCCAGATTCTGTATAGCTTTTAGTTTGCACATCTCATTAAGAATTTGACTAGAGTAATTATAGATTATTATGTTTTTGTAATTCCTACTTTCTTTTTCTGGCCAATAGATATGTCAATGGATTAGACAAACTTGAATTCGCCTCAACTCAAGTTGCGGATATGCAGAAGAAATTAGAGCAGCTTCAACCACAGCTAGTAGAGGCCAGCAAGGAAAACGAAATATTATTGAATGTAATTGCTACTGAATCTGTATCTGTAGAGGAGCAAAGAGTTAAAGTAAAGGCTGAAGAAGAGCTAGTCAATCATAAAGCCGACGCCTCTAAGGCATTGAGTGAAGAGTGTCGAGCTGATTTGGCCGAAGCTCAACCAGCACTCGAAGCTGCCCTAGCAGCTTTAGATACTCTCAAGCCTTCTGATATTACCATAGTAAAATCAATGCAGAATCCGCCTCCAGGTGTCAAGTTAGTAATGGAAGGTGTATGCGTCATGCGTGACATAAAGCCAGATAAGGTTAATGATCCTTCTGGCTCAGGAAAGAAGATAAATGACTATTGGGGTCCATCCAAAAAACTTTTAGGAGAGATGAATTTCCTTGTATCCCTTAAAGAATATGATAAGGATAACATTCCGCCCTTGGTAAGCCAAATGCATTTAGTTCCATAGGAAAATTTATAGAAATTATTTTTGATAATATTACTTGTGATTCTTGTTAGACCTAAAAATAACTAAAGTGATGAA